TTTTTATGACTTTTTATGCCTTACTATACTATGATGTTTTTATGCCTTACTATACTATGACGTTTTTATGACGTTTTTATGCCTTACTATACTATGACATTTTTTTGACTTTTTATGCCTTACTATACTATGACGTTTTTATGCCTTACTATAGTATGACGTTTTTATGACTTTTTATGCCTTACTATACTATGACGTTTTTATGCCTTACTATACTATGCGTTTTTATGCCTTACTATACTATGCGTTTTTATGCCTTACTATACTATGACGTTTTTATGACTTTTTATGCCTTACTATACTATGACATTTATATGACTTTTTATGCCTTACTGTACTGACGTTTTTATGCCTTTTTATGCCTTACTATACTGACTTTTTTATGACTTTTTATGCCTTACTATACTATGACGTTTTTATGCCTTACTATACTATGACGTTTTTATGCCTTTTTATGCCTTACTATACTATGACGTTTTTATGCCTTACTATACTATGCGTTTTTATGCCTTACTATACTATGCGTTTTTATGCCTTACTATACTATGACGTTTTTATGACTTTTTATGCCTTACTATACTATGACATTTGGCCCAGAGCAACACAAAACAAAGAGATTAAAAAAAGAACTCCAGCTGGGTCTCAATCATTTATTAGGTTCAAGAAAAAAATGTTACAGTTTATACATAAACAACTAATCTCATTTAAAGGTGGAATTTGATTTGATATTAGTAAAAACCAGTGATAAGAGAAAAAGAGAGGACTAGCAAGCTGTACTGGAGGTGATATAACAAGCTAAACAAAAGAAACCTTCTTCATTACACTGGGATCTACACCTCCCACAAGCTGTCACTTAGCTAGTGTTCCCAACACGGGTCAGTTTCATTGACACATCATTAATACCGACATGGTGGTAAAATTGATCAAATAAAGAAAAAAAAGCAAAACGACAAAGGGGTAACATTTCATTTAGTGTCTTATAAATGCATCTATGCACAGTACTCAACACAACCGGCTGAGATGTTTGTCACAAATGCAGAATGTGGATGCTGATCTCACTCACAAAATGAAGTGTTACCACGGAAAGAACAATACAGTTTGTGCAACAGCCTGTTTTGGTCTCCCAGGTGTGTGCATACAGACAGGTTACATGTTTACAATGACAGGTACAAGAGGCCAGAGCAGACAAGTGGTGGTGACAGGAAGAAGAAGGGAAAATAAGACCAGGGAACGTACAGCAGGGCCAGAACAGAGTGGTGTGTTGAAGAGACAGCATACAAACACAAACCATCAGACTGGGGCAGGGGGTTGCTTGTTTCATATTTGGACTTGATATTTGTATGAGAGGGGAGGAGGGGGGAAAGGGTGGGGGTGTAGAGCAGTAAACCATGTTTCCTGCACCCATTCCAAACAGCTGGAGCCACATAGAGGGTAGGGGGTTTGGGGATGTGTGAGGATCAGTAACATCAGCTGTCCTCCTTTTACCGGTATCCAGGGCCTGGCTGAGTGTAGCCCTGGCCGTAAGGGGGGCGGTTGCGGGCATACGGGTTAGCAGCTCCTGGCGGAGGGGTGACGGTGCTGCCTGGAGGTGCAGTATATGCTGGGCGGGGCTGATACCCTGAGCCAGGCTGGGAGCTGGGCGGCAGGCTGTAGTTAGCGGGCTGGGAGGCCTGGGAGGTATAGTTTTGGGGAGGGAAGGCTCCTGGTGGATACTGCTGGGCTCCCTGAGATGGATGAGGCTGCTGCTGGCCACCTTGGAAGCCCGGGGCTGGGGCCGGGCCAGGGGCAGGAGCCTGGGAGGAGGGAGGCGCATAGTTCTGAAACTGCTGCTGCTGAGGCTGTGGTGGGCCAGGCTGAGGGGCCCCGGGCTGAGGGCTGTATCCTGCTGAGAGAGGGAGGGAGAGAGAAGTCTCTCTTATTCACTCTGGAGAAGACAGAGGGTCACCTTTTTAAATCTTGACCATTTTTACTCTTACCAGGGTACTGCATACCGTACTGCTGCTGTGGTGGGGCACCTGGTTGCTGAGGCGGGTATCCACCTGGAGCCTGGTACTGCTGGTACACCTGACCTGAAGAGACAAAAACAAGTATCATCAATACACAAGAACAAAAAAGCAAGAAAAAATATTTTCATCATCTATTACATCCGAGATGCAGATGAGATTTAATGCACTTTTCATTTACACTTAGTGACACATATGAGTCTCCATTGGCCAGATGACAAATCTGAATGTAATCCATCTTGGTTTATCAAATTCAGTGCTACTCCACTCCAGTGGGTAGTGGTAATGCACCTGAGGCTGTCTTGCATCTTAGCTAGTTAGCCAAACACATCCTACATGACTCCCATTAGTGGACTACAAGCCTTCACAGGCTCTCAGGGATCAGATGAATGCTTCAACAGCTCAGTGCGCCTTCTCAATGATTGCATGTATTGAATTCTGAAGCAGCTTTTAGACGGCTAATCTTAGTGTGATTTCAGTGTAACTGTAGTTGCCATTATCACAAGTATCCTCTAGCTCTGTAGAGGCCACTTCCATAGACGACTTACTTACATAGTTACAGTTGGGAGGAGTAAAGACTACGTATGCGTCTTGGAGAGATGGATGCATTTTACCCCGTTTCAGCATCTGGCAGGAATGCAATCGAACAGCAAATAAATAATGAATGCTTTTTGGGTTTCATTTACACTTTGCTCTTTTGAGATCAGATCACTGTCCAGTTCACCCAAGACACATGAAGTGACTAAGTGTAAAGTGAGGCTTGTATATTCACAGACATACCTGTGCATCTGGAGAGAATAACACACAAGTGCTTCAATGAAAACAGCTGCAACCACTTTGATATGAGTATTTGTTGCCAAAAGTCTGGTGCCCACAGAAATCTTTACGGCATGTTACAGTAAGAATGGGCTCCGAGCTACAGAGCAGCATGCAGGTGCCTGAGCAGATGTAAACATACATACAACCTCTCCTTACATTGTTGCTGACACATGTATCAACTACTGAGGTCCTATAGGACAGACATTCACAACGGAGGCATATTTTCCTGCATCAAGACAAGAGCTTGTCCTCTGCAGCACCAGACATGTCTAAGTCTTCAGACAGTGGCTTCCTGTTGCCCTTTTATAAACTATGATTTCACCAGTCCACACTGCCTACGTGCACATGTGGAGGATAGTCATCATCATCTCTACAACTTCAGTCGTCTCAGTCATGTACTTTAAATAGTATTTCTTTAAAAAGGCCTCTGAATATCCAAGAAGCCTGAAGCAACAGTTAAACATATTAACCACATCTCAATGGCATGACTGTAATCCGTCTTTTGCTTGACAGTGATGCCATTGCACAACGTTTATGTTTCAAAAACATGAAAACTTATTTTCATTGTTTTTTTCAAATTTGCTCATCAAGTTTTCCATTGAATGCCAGAATTTTCAGCAAACATGCAAAGACCTGGCAAACTAGTGTTCCTCCTTAACGAGGCCTAAATTTTACTCCCAAATCTCCTGCCTGGCATATAAATGGGAGTGACGACACATGAAAAGTACAAAGAGAGAAGGCATAATGAAAAAGGACTGGACCCGGGTTCACTGATTTTTCAAGCACTGGTAAAACTGGTGCTGATTTTCCACTCTTTGGGGGGGCTGATATTGTGGCAACATTCAGTTTTTGAGAGTAAAACAGAGCAAAGCTGAAAGACTATGAACTCCTATTAAATTATTCCGTCCTTACTTTGTATCCAGTGGTTCATAATTCAAACCATTCTATGCAGCACGGACAGTACAAGAGAATTCACTTAATGTTGGCACATTGAAATAAATATACACCAAGGAGCCAAAACATTATGACCACTCACAGATGAAGCGAATAACAGTGATTATCTCATAAGAATGCTGCATGTCAAGGTCTGGGGTATATTAGATGTGAACAGTTGGTTCTCACAGTCAACATGTTGGAAATGGTACAAATGGGCAGGTGCAAAGACCTGAGCAACTTTGACAAAGGTCAAATCGCTATGGCCAGAAGACTGGGTTGGAGCATCTCCAAAACAACAAGGCTCATGAGGATGGGAGGGACAAACCATGAATCTGCAACAGGGAGTTGAGGGATGTGCTGGAACCAGCCCAATTCATGGCGGCTCCACCTAGCAACTTTCAGGACTTCAAGGATCTGCTGCTAACATCCCGGAGCCAGATAACATAGTACACCTTCAGAGGTCTTGTAGCATCCATGTCTCAATGGGTTGGAGCTGTTTTGGCAAGACGTGAAGGACCAACAGCTTATTAGGCAGCGTTGGTCATAATGTTTTGACTCAGTTTATTTTCTGTATAGTCCAGGCAGCTAAGGCTCACTGTGGCAGAAAACAAGTCATATTACTTTGCACTGCTCAGGGAGACACTTGACAACTAAATATTTAGCTAGAAACAGGGAACCTGTTTGGTGCCTTTTTATAAGCACTAAAGTGATGTGGCAACCATCTGTTATCTCACTGACAGCACCTTTAACATGTTCTTTATTGTGTGAAAAGGCATGTGTGTGAAACTGGCTTGTCTCCTGTTCTCCCCAGTCTGTAATCCATCATGACTGTTATGTAAGAGTGATGGAAGGATGTGTGGCTGTAAGACCTCTTTGGCCTGGGAGTTCAGCTGATTCCAGCACGGCCAAGAGGTCAACTATTGGGGACAAAGATATTTGACTGGGGGCTCGCTGAAGACAGTGTAGCATTGCTCCAGGAAATAAATTCCCAAGTTAGGAGAATGGTGTTCACTGAAACAAAAGAAGCATTTGGCTGTAGCTCTGCTGACCTCCATGCATGCCTTCAGAGGGAGTCATGAGAATATGGTCCTATTTTAAAATAAACATTTCACACCGAACGCACATCTGCCCATCTGATAAAGAGCCTCATGAGAATGTCTCAGTTGCTGCTTCATACACACGTTTACAGTTTTGTTCCTGCACAGATGTAAATTATTGCCAAGGGGTCTATCACCATCTGAGAGACAATGGTTTGAAATCTTTACCATATGCCTGTGGATCTTGTTAGCGACATTCTTAGGGTAACAAGTAATCTAAGCTTGCATTACAAGTGAGCTTAAGGCTACCTTTAAAAGGCCACAAATGCTCAGCTGGTGTCTAATCTCATGTGCTGGCATTCCCTTTTATAAATTCTTGTGTATCGACTGGCTGTTCTGATTTGCCTTGAGGATGTCATACTGACAAACAGTCTGCAACATGAGACAGGAATAATGCAAGGAAAAAGCATGAGGAAAGGGTTGACTGGGAGGGGAGGCTGGGCAGGATCTAGTTTAATGTGTTTGTGTGCCAACCATCTGCAGCCTTAGGAGTAAGAAAAGAGATGAAGAAGGGAAACTGTAAGAGGGGAACGATACAGGGAGGACAAAGTGTTCATTATCCACTGCTGGGCTTGGACGTATCCAACAACCAGCCATAAGATTAAGAGACGGAAACTAGCCAAAGCTGCCAATGTGTAGTAAAAATATATTATTTATGTCAGTGGGTATATTTCCTTTTTAGTTGTCTCCCTTAACAGGGAGGTCAAAGTTAACTTGCTTAACTTCAGCAGGGGTAACACCTGATTCTTCTGTTGAATGTGTGTCCTACACTAATGGCCGGTCAGCCTACTTAATACTCACACCTAGCTTCCAACATCCAGTCATCAAGATCTTCCAGAACCATCAGATGAGATCAAGAACCCCTTCATCTACACTGCCTGTCCTGTTCCAAATGTATTTGTTTTACTTACAATAAACTGGATGTCATTTAACATTACTATTATTATAACATGGGGATATTGTTACGATAACCTGTTCATACAAGACAGTGATTCTGAAGTCAGTAGGTTGGGTGAAGTTTTCATTTGCACTACCACTTGCAGAAGCTGAAGGTTTCAGCTATTTATCTGGGGGTTTCCTGACCAAGTGTTTCTTTGGCCCCTATCTTCACCCTTCTCCTTTATCACTGGATATCTGCTGATACTGATACTTATATGTACCAAACTGTTGATTATGTATGTATATATGTATCAAATATGTATCCGACATATTACACTAACAGCAGTAGCCTTATGATGCAACAGCTACCTGATCCAAATACTGAAGGTCCTGGTTCAAAAACATCCTATGATATCAATGAACGATAAACTGCAATTCCTAAAACTGACTCCTGAAATCGGCCCAGGTCGGCTCAGGACAGCTTTATCTTTTCTGTGATTTATTTCAACTTCTCTGCCCGCTTGGTAAAAAGCTTTCACGCATTTTCAATTGAATCAGACTATGTTATGACCTTACAACTGATCTAGGTTTATGATAGGCGTGTCCTGTGCATTTGCCTTAAATTATCTGGTAGTTTACAGGTTATTGTGACTATAAAAATAAAGATCTGCCTGACACCAATTTGGAATCCTATTTGTTTATTTTCTTCCAAATCCTGCATATTTTTATTATTGAAGATCATAAGTTCAGTTTATAATATAAAAAAAGACATGATGAGAACTTATACACAATCATCACAGAGCAATTGAAATGCAGTGTAATGAGCAACTTGAAACTATTACTCAATAATAACAATTCCACAAAAACATGTCCTGTCATTCCTTGCAGTAAGCTAAGCCAGGCTGCCAATTTTAAACCCATGCAGAGCTTGGACTGATTGTCAGACCTCCACGATGACATGGCCCCATCACCACATCAGAATCAAACATCAAATCAGAAAAAACGAGTTGCCTATTAGACAACAAAGTCTGTTGGCTTCTCCCTGTCCTCGTGTTATGGAAGGAAAGGAGGAACCATGAACAGTTTTCTGTTGAGCTGGATGTTTGTGTGCAACATGTTGTGTCGCTGGCTAACCCTGTGACTGAGTAAGGCTTCCTTCTGGACCAACCAAACTCTTATTTAGCCCTATGGACAGGCCCAACACAATCATGGCCAAACCACAAACTACCAGTTCTGTTCATTTTCCGTGTTGCAGGTGTGACTGCTCTCAGAGCAGTGGGCTCTCAGAGGGTGCAACATGAGGCATCTTTTTTTGCTCCAGTGGCTTCCACATTCATCTGGGCCAAACCACAGGCTGAAAACAATCTAATCTGCTTATAGCAATGTGGTAAACAACACAAGAGACTTCACCTTTATGGCTGCACCTGCTTGGGCCTTTCTTAACAACAAAACAGAAAACAATCCAAAGAATTCCCTAAAGTTAAGTGAGAAGCTTGGGAAAGGGGGAAAAAAAAAAGCTATGGCACATTGGCACAGAAGATCCAGCCCCCCCTGAGCTGCATCCCAGAGAGGCACTGTGCTGAGAAAATTAAGTAAAATAAGCCCTGTTTGTTTTTGCCAATACTGCCTGATCTTTTATTCATTTATCTTTATCTACGGCTTTGGTTCGGATCCAACACTTCAGTGTTAAAAATTGCACATGGGGGAGAACTGTGATAAGGTCTGCTCTGAGTAAGATAAATGCTAATTCCATGGATACTCCATGTTTACATAGTGTTGATTAAGACTCCACCATGGTGAGACTCAAGGCTAAGTTCTCATTTAATAAAACTTGCTGCATCAACAAGAATGAATTTGATTACCAAAAAAGGTAATAAGATTACAGTACAAGCCACTGTGTAATCTGTAGGCTGCAAACATCTGTCAGTATAAATTGGTTAACAAAGATCCTGAGCATATATTCTTCCCATGAATGATTTAACCTCAATTTGATCTTCTGATTAATGCAGCATTTACTCAATTTCTTTGTATATTCCACTTAATTTAATCAACTAAGGATAAGTGGCGGGATGAAAGTGATACTTTCTGTATTCCAAAGAGAAATCAAAAGAAGGTAAGTTTAATTTGATCAACACAGCTCACTAAACAATAGCAGTATAGTCTTATAATATGGTCTGTTGTACTCTGATACCAATCTATCATGTAACTAAATTACACATGAATAAAAGTAGGCCAAGAAAGAAAGAACGAAAGAACGAAGCCAGTATATTTACAGTTTAGACAGGACTGAACTATAAACAATATAGTATAAATCTACTGCAAGAACCAATACTACTAATGGAGTGTTTAAGAGATAAACAATCTGGCCTGCAAACCAAGTAAGACCAGCTAAATGTTACCATGGGATATATTTCTAGGCCTCCAAACATAGGTTTACAAGATCCCAGGCAGAACTATTCTTTGGAAAACAAATAATCTTGGATCAGTATTTTAGGGCAACATGTTCAAACTGTCTTGCTCAACAGGGGGTCATATTTAATGAGGCTACTTTGGTGGTAATATGGGATGTTTATCCAATACAACAGCACAACTGTAAAACATAAGTAACTGCTTAACCACCCACACTGCAGGGTCTCCGATTCCCTGTGGTCATTAGGACATTACGCCTTCTGCATACTTTCTTACACACACATATCTGACTAACCCTAACACCTATATGCTGTGTTATGTAAGACGTCTTTCTGGGGACATCTGTGTGTGCATGTGTCTCACCATCCATGCCAGCTGCGGGTCCCTGCTGTACTCCAGGATAGGGAGCCTGTGGTTGGGGGGGCACTCCTGGCTGAGGGGCCGCAGACGAGGAGGAGGCGATGCTGTCAGGGGTCCCTGAGCGCTCCTCTGCAGCAACCGCTGGGGGAGCTACTCAGTTAACACAGAGGGAGACAGATTTGAAGTGTGGCTATGATCGCTTTACATGACAGCTATTCATTGAAACTAAACAATACAGTCATGTAAATTAATGAGGACACCCTATGGAAACTGTTGACTTTTTGAACATACATGAATAAGCAAACAGTTGATCCTCTTTGATACAGTGCCTATAGATAAAGGTGATATACTTGAACAAAACCACAAGGAAAATTAGCTTTTTCATTCACTTATTCAACAAAAATATTAACAGATATAATATTTCCCTGTGGAAAAGTAAGCAGATCCTTGGCCTCAGACGGTAGTATTGCTGATTTCAAATCCCCACAGAGCATTTCAATAGAATTCAAATCTGAGCTTTGACCAGGCCATTACATAACCCTTTATTTCTTCTTTTTGAGCTATTCCTGGGTGGATTTGTTTGTGTGCTCAGGATTATTGTCCTGTTTAAAGGGCCACTTCTGATACAACTTCAACTTTGGACAGATGGCCTCACATTATCTTCAAGCAGTCTTCGCTATGACGCAGAATTCAGAGTTAAATCAGTGACTGCAAGCTGCCCAGTTCCTGAGGCAGGAACTGCTGTTACTGTGGCCAAACAACTATCTTTGATTCCTCTGTCCAGAGCACATTATTCCAAAAGGTCTTGCCTGGTCTTTAGCTATATGTTCATTGGCAAACTGTAGTCCTGCTCTAATGTTCTTTTTGGACGGCTATGACTTTCTCCTGGCACGCCTCCTGTACAGGTCAAATTTGTGCAATGTCTTTCTGACGCATGCACTTTGACACCAACAGTTGCGAGAGTTCCTGCTGGTAACTCTTGCAACTATTGGTGTCAAAGTGCAATTTAAATTGTGGGGGTCTTGGAGACTTCTTTTTGCATCATACTGTTGGCCCTTATTTGAAAATTGACATATTGACATTTGAAATCTATGCCACTTGTATCTGATTACACATACAATAGAATGATTTATTTAAAATAATTTGCAGATCTTTTTAAATGCCTTGCCAGACTTTTTTTTCTGAAGGCCTTAGAGAGTTCTTTAGATCTTGGCATGATGATACCACACACTTCAACAGCAAAAGAGAACACCAGACCCTAGATGTCAGAGGTTTAAATAAGAAAGGTTCCACCTGCACTTCCAACTTTTTCAAATATGTTGAAAAAGTCAACAATTTCCATTGGGTGCACTTAATTTTTTACGACTGTATATAAAGATAGCACCTTTAATTTCTGAAGTTATGCAATACCTTGGGCCTGGTCCTCGCTCAGGCCGAAAGCAGAGATGACATTCTTGCTGACCTCGTCCTGGTTTTTTAATGGGTCGAAGGCTGACATGCTAGCTGCACTGACTGGAGTTGCCTGTTTCACTGTGGGGTCTGCTGCCACAACTTTACCTTCACGTACATCCACTGATTCTAGAAATACAGGTAGAGAAATGTTCAAAAAAAAAAAAAAAGACAAAAAAAAAGACAAAAAAAAAAAACAGCAGAGAAAATGTTGCAATAATGCAATTCATGTATGTACCATTTCATGTCACTTAGAAAGACACTTGTTGTTACACCATCAACAAAAACATGTAGTACACAGAACAAATGCCTGTTTATAAATTAAAAAATTGCTTAAAGTTACAGCTCACTGATGGTGGCAAAAAACACGAAAAACATTTTAATACAGCAGCCTACAATGCCTATAATCGTACTGTAATATGACAGCACATGTCCCTCAAATTAATGCTTTGGTCAGTCATGATGAAGGGTGTATTTTTGTTTGAGCCATGCGTGTGTGGGTGAATGACCACAATCAAACTGGACTGAGCTGTATGAAGTACAAAATTAAAGATAGAATTGTAGCATACAATTCCATACAAATTTTAATATTAAAACATGACAAACAATGATTAAGTCTCATAAACTGTCTCAGTCTGGTGCCTGTGTCCATGTGGGATACAGATCTTACAAGTCTGACAGTGAGCATGTGGAATATGAACAAGTGTTACTTGTTAAGGAGGCCGTGCAGTGCCCATCAGCAGGATTAAGAGACTTAACACAAAGTTTACAATAAAAAAAGAAAAGAAATCAAATCACAGTTGGCTGTGTTTGTGCACATCTGCCAGTACCTAATGGGGCATAATGCTTGTTGTGGACCCAGCAGGTTAATCGTGTCTTGTAATGTGCTTCTCATCAATCGGTAGAAGTTACGAGTTTTCATGTTAAATCAATTCAAAGAGCAGTTGTGCGCGCACACACACATACTGTAGGAAAAACTGCAAATGTTGCAAGAAACTGCAATGTGTAAACATAGTGGAGCCCTTGCAAGCGCACGTGTGCATGTGTATCAGAGTACATACCACTGTCCGGTGCTGTAGCAGCCAGGCCAGGCTCTGTGGGGGGCTCCAGGCTATCCAGGAGGTTGTTGACTTTATTCCTGAGCTCAATGAGCTCCCTGCGCAGGTACTTCACCTGACTGGACTCCAAAGGCCGCGGCTGACCATTCACTGTAAGATGGAGGGAGGGGATACATGTGAGCAAATCAAACAAATCCTTAATAATAATTTGGAGAATATGTTTGAGCAAAGTCATTTCTAAATCTCCATTTGTGTGTTAGACCTTAAGGAGGATGATCGATAGCACCTGAGTCTTGATTGCTTTTACACAATACAACACTCCTCTAGTCCATACCTTTATTAATGGGGAATTTTTGTGCATCACTGAATCTGGATTGCATTTAATATAACTGTTTCCTACTTGGGACAATTTTGTCTGAACCGCTTGTTGACATATATCACAGTCTCCAACTGAGTTACATCCATGAGCTCCTTGGAATATCTGGGTAAGACTGTACAAAATGCAGCCTAGCAGATGGTAAATCAAATAAAATGTGGTAGGAATACCACCCAGCAGAGCCTCACGCCCAGAGAAACCCTGAGAGTACTGGACATATAGACTGACTTGTTTGTAGGAGCCTAAAAACTGACAATATACTGCTACCATGGAGAGGCACGTCAACTACTGGAAATATGTTTCTGGTAAATAATGATTAATGGGTCAGTGGACAGTCTAAAAGTAGCTCATTAGTCAGTAAAGAAAAAAAACAGTGCTGTAACATACAGCAACATCTGTTTAATGTAAAACCTTCTGCAGTTCACTGGTCTGGAAAAGCTGTTAATTCAACACTAAGTATGTGCACATTATGAATGATGATCTGTCCAAATTCTGTTAGCTCCTCATTCTGAAAACCTGGGATAACAGGGATCATCTATCACATGGCTGACTTCACAAAGCCATTCACAACAGCAGCCAAGCTGACAGAGGGAGTGAGAGCTTCATCATCATCACCACACCCTGCCAGCTAGGCATTTAACTAACAATGGAGCTGAGAACACTGGGCACGAGGGCACTGGTTTATCGTCCAACTTGTCTGTAAGCCTACATATGGTGATTTTACTTAATGTTATGTCATATTTAACAGGACAACATACTTCAGTGCATATTTTATCTTATTTTATGAAATAAAATTAAAGTAATCATGTACAAAAAAAACTTCTTCACAATCTTCAGCCATACCTGACCTGTACCATGTCGGTTGCTCTAACTACTTCCAACCTTTACTTTCCTGTTCCAAATTGATTAAGGAGTGAAATTTCTATTGCTGAAGAATGAATGTGAGGATAGAGATCCCCAGACATTCTTTTCTCACATAAGTTTCTCTGTTTGAGTTGATAATGTTAAACAGAGATCCATGGGGTCATGAGGTACTGAGCTGAAACACGGGCTGCTATGAGAATCCAGCTACACTTGCTTTCTTTGAATCTCGACACATGTCTGAGGATATCATTTCCACGTGAAGTCATGCCATGTGATGATGAGCCAGGACTCAGTTTTGATTGGGAGGAAGTAAAATACTTTTTTAAAAAGAAGAAACAAATATATCTTACAGCCCCCTGGCTAATAATAGCAGCAACAGGAGAACAGACTGACTCGGAGCAGAGCAAAAGAAACAACATCATGTTGTCATTACAAATTCTATTATTAAATTTCCATGATGCCATGGTGTGTTATGGTTTTGAGACATGTTTTGTTTCACAACTGACAGCAATATTCTGTAGACCTGTAAAGTTGGGCTTCGTTTATGTCTATATTCCCATACAGGTAAATCTCCACCACAACTTTATTCCCTTGCAGAAAGGACAAAGCCCTGAAACACCATTTTGTCTATCCAACAGCTAAACACTGGGACGTAATACTGCCTTTAAATGAAGAACACTTACAGGAAATAGAATAATTCATGAGCATTAACAAAAACATGTGTAACGTAGAAGTGGCCTGCCAGGAGATATCAGCAGTGAAAGCGTCAAGTTGTATTTTGACATTTACAGATTAAAATCATGTGGTAACCATATAGTGAAACAAAACAATCCCAGATGGCATATTTGATCAGTGCAATTCAATTAATGACATGCCATATTCTTCAGCATTAACTTTGTGTGTCTGCCTTCTTTAATTGAATGCACATATTTTTCTGTTACAACAAATATCCAATTTCTATAAATTTAGCAATATTAATCAACCTAAAAAGAAAGCACTCTCTACCCATTTGGCTGTGTATACCATATAGTTACTGGACTCCTGGTTTTAAGTGCAATCACATTTTTTATTCCTATGTTATTATCAAAATCATACTCTTGATCAAGCAATGCACTGTATGTAATCAGTCCTGTAAAAACTGAAAAATTGAACACAATTTTATGCAACATGTTGGCAAAAACAGGTCTCAACTGACTTGTTAGGGTGAGGCCTACTGGCTGTTTGGGTAATGTGATTAATTCTTCTATGTCATAAACCTGAAGGCCTACTGAATGACTGTGGACTTAGCTTGGTTGACGCATATTTAAAATTAAGACTAGGAACTGGTATAACTGGCACAAAGGTCTTTTGTCAGTATATCTACTGCCTGTCACACTGTTTGTTTGCTGAGCCAGTGCTAAAAGACACACAGAAATTCCACCCAAAATTAGTCGGACGGGAGTGCAGACAACTTTTGTAAGGACATTGAGGAGCTGAGGTTTGTTGTGTGAAAACATAAAACTGGACTGCCCTCCAGTGACTGGCTGCTGTAACAGCTGATGTGGAACATTCTTGGTTTACAGTTCACAACACTATCTACACTGTCACATGATTAAAAACTTTCAACATCTACAGACTTACAGTTTATATTCCTCACTTGCACGACTGTGTACGCTTATGAAGGGGCAACAGAAAGGAAATGCTTAAATATCTTACCAAACAAAGTCAGTTTGAGTATTCTACTGCACTGGATGGCGAAGGAGAGGTCAGAGCTGTCGAAGATGGTGATGAGGTCGTCATCTACAAAAATGAAAGAGACCAGATGATGTATTGTACTGAAAATTACCTCTATCCAAAAAAAAAAAAAAAAAGCCTTTTTGTTAGGATACCAGAAAACAAACAAACAATGACTTCATTCGCTTATTGGATTTACACTGTCAAGTGTTCAAATACATCATACACTATATACTAGTTTACAATAAATAAGCTGGGCTGAGAAAAAACGTATTGTCAACATTTACAAAGGGCCAGCGTCCTGACTCACCTTCATCCTTGTATTTTATGGTAACCTCGTCGTTACTCTGCAGCTTGCCCCTAAAGACACGCTGCATCATCAGCACCAGCTCATCGTAAGTGATGTCTTCATTATGGATAGGGATGCGTCTGATGTCGTCACCCAACTGGGCTTTGATGATCAGCTTGCCACTCAGGTCCAGCTGGCCGTTCATGGTGCCGTCCGACCTGTTCTGCTCCCACCACTTAACAGAATAGGAGGAGAGGTAGTTTGAAAAACAACCAACTAAACAACATGCCTATTGCCCCAGCTTTCCTTCAGTCTTTCTCACTGTCAGTTAGAGGCCATTTCAGTTTTATTTCTGTAGTATAACAAAATAAGCAGTGGTTGATTTTAATTTCACCACATGCCGATTAAAAACAGAAAAATTTAATAAATAAATACAAAGTAATATTAAGATTAAAAAAGAATAACAATCAATCGGCTCAGTATTTAAAGACGTCTATTATTTATCTTTATATGTACATCTACCTTTAGAATGAAACATGTTGTCAATGTGGTACTCTATTAGTGTCAAACATGCACAGAAGAGGTTCAGTAACTGCAAATACTGCATGACATGGGACTTCTCAAAGTTGTCTGCTGGACACTACAGACAATATGGCACAATACAATGCTGGGTAACACCCATCCCACTATGAATTTTCATTAAATTTTAATTTACTGTTGATGCACTAATCTTTAGGAAAAAGAAACGGATGTATTGCATGTATTATAAGTTAACCTTAGAGATCTTTAGGAATCATAAATATTGATGTAACGTTAGTTTACATGGAGCTTCCAATGAGTAGATGTTATGAGTTATGTTATCCTGGTGTGTCTTTATGCTTTACAGAACTTGGACAAAATAAACAGACAATTCATCTACTCTAATAGCCTGATTTATCCAAGTGCACTACATCATCTCACAAAATTAGAAATAAATTAATAACAGCTACATGTATTTGTCATTATAGTGACATTGAGGCCTTGATCTGTGTAAGTAGGTTAACAGGTCAGGGGATGTGGTTGCTGTGAGAGTCGTTTTTCATGATTAAATTGTGGTTGTTTCTTTAACAAGGACAATGAGATTATGATGAAATTAGCAAATCCTCTGAACTGATCTTTATTGTCTTCCTTGAAGGCACCTTGTGACATTTAAAAAATGAAGGAGCGAGCTGCACTTCACTCTAAGGATTTAATCACACAGTCTCCATCAGTAACAATATCACACATTTTCACTTTAACTGCAGAGTCTAAGGGTCAAACACCACCCTGTGAGGTGGCTAAACCTATTCTGTGCTATTGTAGATCTCCTTACAGACTTTGACCCAAATAACAACCAATTAGATAAAGAGAGTCAGAGCTTTCAACCAAGTTGAGTGGATCTTTTACAAGAATGTAATGTGATCATTTGTATGCCAGATAGGTGAAACTACCAGAATTTGTTTGGTATGCAATCTGAGACCTACATTTTTAGTCTGTGATAATTTAACATGTCTCTCATTGATTGTGTGTAGTCACCAGCTGGATTTATTACGATGTTACCTGCCCATGATCTAGGCAGGACAATTTACTACTGTGAATTTAATTCCAGAAATGCTGCGGCTTTGCCTGTCCTAGCCAGATGAATAATTGGCTGGATGCTAGGGATTGTCTGGTGGCTAACGTTTAGCATACACTTATATTAAATGAGGACAACAACAAACGAGTATCTACCGATACTGACTCTTACACACTTAACATTTAAATGTCATTAAAACGCAACTTAGCTAACGCTGTTTGTGAAAGACGCTCAATCGCAGAGTCATCTGTCAGTGGCCCATAAACAGCAGTCCCCTCCTAACTGCTAACATCTACTAGGCCGCCTCACCACTACAGTGACACTGTTCACAATATGAACTAGGTATCCTGACTAAAAGGCAATAATATGTTTAATCTATCATAGTGATGAGCATGAGTTAAGAGTAAACTGTATGCCTTAATTTCACTTTTTAGAAGTAGGTCGACAAAAAGCGATTTCCTGTGTAACTTATAATAGCTGCTTTTAATAGGCATTGAGGGCTAAGAAAGCCAACATATTCTTAACTAACTAATGTTTCAACTTCTCAGTCCTTTAAATAAGAGTAAATAGTTACGCATCTTTTTGTAGCTAACTTCCCACAAATCAGTCTGCACCTGTTTGGGCGAGTTAGCTTAGCGTTAGCTCATTACATTAGTCAGCTAACGCTAGCTACTTCGCTTGCTAGTTAGCATCATACCAGTCAAACAGTGATAGCATAGTAACTGCTGTGTGGTTAAAACTAAATGATGATACAGCTAGGACCCAAACCCAAGAAAGCCTTTTACCTGAATCAGACGACTTGACCACGCTGTATTTCACAGGTTTCCCCTAACCGTGAAAATCAAATCTGTTAGCTAGCCTAGCCAGACCCGGGCCAGCATCAGGAAGTGTCCTCCAGACTGTCAACGTCAGCCAGTACGTGGCATTCACTGTGCGCAGCCGCACACCATCTGACCAAAGTGCGGTGTGACTGACACACCTAATTATAAAGATAACAAACAAACACCAGTCATCAAAAGTTGAAGAGCATTCGTTTAATTTTATTTGGTTTACAATGCATATGTTATTCATGTGCACAGGCTGAATACACTGGCTTTCTGATGCTAAATAAAAATAACTGAAAACATAACTGACATTGTAAGAGGTAGACTTAATGAAGGAGAAAACAATCAGGACACCTGCAGCAATGGAAAACCACTTCCTAAACACATACACTGGCATTTTCTGAGCAAACTTTACAGAACTGTGCAATAGTTTTAGGCATTATAAAGTTAGGATGTTTTTAAAAACAGACTGACTGGATGATGTTGAGATCAGGCCACTCTGAGGGCCATACCATCTGTTGCATGACACCTTATAGACACCTCCCTGGTGGTACTGCATGATGGATAAGAATCTAAACATCAGAAGAGGTTAACATTTTTGCACAGGACTGTATATGTTGGAACAGTTCATGCCTTCACTCTGTTTTATGAGTATAAACACCTCTACATCTTTTCTGTTCAAATCATGGCAACATCTTTATAGGGATGACAACAATGATGTGGTCCTAAATGACCTCTTTTTCTGTTTGGAAAAAATCAGCAGCCCAGACTCAGTGATGGAGAGGGTACAAGGTGATTGAATTCCAATGACACTTGTCAATAATTGTGACAACAAAAAAAAACAGGTTTCAGCATAAATTGTACATCTTACTCCATCTTATATCTATCTGTGAGAGAACACTGGTTTCTACAGTATGTTATGATATTGATAACTGAATAAATAGACATGAATAAGTCTCATAACTCATTTTTAAATTAAAAAACACAGTTCAGCCCAGTCACAGCTTTCTTCACTCCATTATTTCTTCTTCTTCTCCTCTGTGGCACTGAACCATGAGTCTAACAGTTTTTTCATGTAATATAACTGCCAGGCATGCACTTGAACAGCAACCACCATGATGAGGTACATAACTGTCACTGCAGAAAAGCCAAAAATGAAGCGGTAGGCCTTTCCATGGCGGTAGAGCTGCTGTGCTACAGGAAACATCTCCATTCCACCATAAATAAGAGGTGCTACAGTGAACAGCCCTGCGCTGATCATGGATATGACCAGGTAACTGATATTGTTCTTTGGAAGTGACAGACTGCTGCAGAGCAGAGGAAGGAGACTGAGCAAGTAGGGGTACTCCCACTGGTATGGCATGGATACTGTGTCATGTGACACTAGGTTGAGGTGGCTGACAGTCACCTGTGCAGCAACCAGCAGCCAGATCAGAAGGTGGACCAAGTTTAACTTCCGTACCTCTGACTTCAGAGAAGCACTGCAAAATATAAAGCAGAATGTCAGGGTGTGTTGGAAATCCTTGAACATATATCTGCTATTTGTAGATAAAATTTACATTTAATGAGCAACATCAGAAACAGATCAAATTTACTTGCCTCATTTGGTAGTGTGGCGCCACCTTTTCTCTGTGTTTAAAGTGAGTACCATTGGTACCCTCAGCTCTAGGACCTACACGTGATGTCATGTTGAGAGAAACCTACTGACACACAAAAACCATCCTATTTCAGAAGCCAAAACCTGACAGAACATGAGCTGCTACTAACAATTATTAAACATTTTTAATTATGTTGTCTCTATCAGGAAATAGTGAAAAATGCCTATCACAATTTTCTAAAGCGCAGAGTGATGTCTCATATTGTTTGTTTTGTCAGCAGTTCAAAACCAAAAGATGAAAATATTCAATAACGTTTCATTTGCTATAACATGAGAGACAGAAAAGCACCAAATGCTCACCACCTTTGTCTTTTTTGCTTGAAAAATGAGTTAGATGATTAATCATTTAACAAAATAGCTGCCAGTTGTTTTTCAGTAAGTCATTTAATTGAAAATTTAACTAATTGTTTTGTTTGCAAGACAAAAAAGATGCTATCAGAGGAGAGAAAATCAAGTAAATAATGACACAAAATCGTCCATAATAAACCAGACTGTTGTCTAATTCTGACACCAAGGTGTTAAGTGTCATGCAAACTGACAATGACTAATTTCACCCAGATTATTTGGGCCGTTGGACCGGTTTGAAGTAGGTTAGTGCGTTAGCTGCTGTTGCTAAATAACCCAATTCAGCATATTTACCTTTGAACAAATACGTACTGTTTTTGTTAGGGTTAGCGTCGTTTTATCATAAGAAATGACAACAGAGTATGACACTAAACACGACGCTGCGAAATATAGATTACATATAAATCTTACCGCTGCGTGTTTCCTTACGTCTGATCAAATCCGTTGTTTAAATTTGGACTGATCTCACAAAAGATGTAACAAATGGATTGTAGCCAAAAGCTCAGCGCATGCGCTCAACCTCTTCAAACAGGAAGTCCCCCTCCTCCCCCTCCAACGCAGCATCAGCATCTCTCCTCTCATCACGATTTAAATCCTTTTCCTGGATGTTACTGTACCAGTCATTTAGAAGCAATTCTTTTTTGATTTTATCATATATATCATTTATCCATATTGGGTTTTTTCTCTTCAGATAAGATTGATTAGCTATACAAAAAACTGACACCTTCTTTAAGACAAAAAAATCCATGAAATCACAGCCTATTAGATGGATGGATCAATGTTGAAAAAACAAACAGGTTTTTTGGAAGTGTCAACCAGAACAGATGCGACCCGACAATCCTGTAATCCAGCCACGTGCCTCAAAGCGCTTAGGGGACTCTTTTGTGCCATCAGTCATCAGACTCCACAACATCACAGCACCACCTACCATTATTGTATCTATCATTCCTATTTTATTTTTATCTTATTTTTTATCTTAAACATTTTTCAGTAATTGGCTTTTCTCGCACTTTTTCATGGATAAGCCCCCACATTGAATTTTTAGTTGATATACCAGCCTCTTTCAAAAGAGTTTCCCTTCTGGGAGCTTAGAAAGAAGATGTCAACAATTTCTTTTTAATTAAACAATTTTTATTTAGAAAAAACAACATAGACAATAATAACAAACATGAAACATTAAGACATAAATTCATTGGTTACACTGAAAATATTAGCACCACGATTAAAAAGAGAAATATTTGTTTTTCCTTTAAAACTATGTGTGCTTGATGTTCATTTTAAAGCATGTAAGTGATCAGCAGATAAAATAATAAATTATTGACATAATTGTTATTAAGAATTGCTGAAACATTGAACACCTTCTTTGAGTCCATTCATTGTAGGGCAATTTTATATGTGTTCTCCACAAACCTGGCAGCAAGACATACTGAATGAAGTGCACAATGGATACTATGGAACCTAATTTAGTTATCTCACCTCTAAACAAATCATACAAGAGGAACTAGTTAAATACCAAGTCCCGCTGTTTAAGAGTTTCATTTCAAAAGTATAATCCTTCACATATGACACTTCCTTACAGTATTACACTGCCATTACAACTACAAAAGGATTATGTATGATGGTTTTCTAATTTGAAATCAACGTTTACAAACAAGTTACAGAATATTAACAGTTGAATCTTAAATTACATCAGCCAGGTGACAAGTTGCTTTGAAAAGAAACTAATCAAATGTAGAGTCACTGTACATAACATTCCATTGTAGTAATAACTGTACAATTGTTCATGTTCACAGATCAGCATCTGTCACCTACACCTGTATAATACTACGGCTTGGTTAGTGACACAAGTATTGTATTTTCTGTATATTGTGGTGTTAAATTTAGTGAAAGGAGTGGTTTTCATAGTTCAGGGGATAATAGTGTGTTTGTTTGACCATTGAGTTTTAGCATAAAAGTTTCTATACAGCACTACACCCATAAACCTATATGCAAACATTAAAACATAAAATGAATAATACATTCTTACTCTTTGATTCTCACTCATGGGAGCAATTGTCAGTCAGCAACACACTTGCTTCGGTAACATTTCATGTGTGATTACTTAATTTTGATCTTATTTTTTCTGTGCTCCCTCAAGTGAGCACATTAATTACCATTATTACTGAATCACCAATAACAGTTGTCCCTGTTGTATGTAACACACCTTAAGTGAAAGCTATTTAGGTTGCTCCCACCCATATTTTGTAAGTTTAATTTTTTTTTGGTAATACAATGGGGAGCTTGGAAGATGGATCCTTTAAAAATCTGAATTAGAGTGTATACAATTAACCTTTCTCCAAAACTCAGTCATTTGCAGGTCACAGAACCAGAAATGTGTTTACCTCACAAACACATACAAACTGCTGCCATGTAGACCTGTTAATGATCTGCATTGTCATTCTCTCTTGTCATTTTACATATTTGCTGTTATCAATTGAGAGATATAGACTATATTTATACAAAGGTATGCATGCAAAAATAAAAATTTCCTACCAGAATGTCTTCATGTTTTCTACCGTATTTCACATTCTTAGCACATGGGGTAGCTGCCAGTTTTGAAGAGGTCCAGGGACAAAATTTGACACTGTTGCAACAGTCTAACTAGAATTGTATGGTTTATTTTTTATCTTCTTTTGTATACACTTCACACATTCCCTTCATGTGTTTGCACCTGATAACAAATTGCACTTTTTTTTTCACTCTTATGTATGAAAATACATCTGGAGCCATCTTTAGGTGTTCTTTGAATGTCTTTTTCTCCATGCTGTAAAATAATAAATCTTTACTCTCCCAATTAAACAGCTATAAGGGTTTATAGTATAAAAACTGCTGTACATACAGACTGTCATACTTAATATTTTCCTTGAAATATTTTATCTTGTCCTCTCTTCTCTGGTGATGATCAACAGTTTGTTGACTTTCCATTAAAAAAGACTGCTCAGTCTAAGGTAACTTATGATCATATTTTATATTATACAAAAATATGCTCCCATTTTGTTCTCACTGAAGCCTCTCTCTCCCTGCAGTTTGTGGTTTTACATTGGATACAACAAGTACCCGGAAAAGGAGGAGTGCACGTACTGCCCAGCATAAAGTCCTGAGGCTTGATCTGAGGGCAGCTGAAGGTACACAGTGTCTCCAGGTTGTAGAGGTAATACTGCACTCCCTGATGCTTGGTCTAGAAAACCCTTTTTGTATTCATCATATGTATACATCACTGGCTCATTGTTCCTCATCAAACCCACCCAAACATTAGCTCCTTTGCAGTGGATGTGGTAGGCAAAGTAATAAATTCCAGGCATGTCACAGGTGAAAATTCCTGTCTGGGGGTTGTAGTTTTGGCGACCGTTGTACAAGAGCTTGTCAAAGACAACTGGAGTGCCCACAGGTGGAAAGGGAGTTGTTGCTACAGCTGTGAACGCTGGCATTTCCAACCCATTGGCACCCATTACTTCTGCACCATTGCCTCCATACTTGCCCTTCTTACCATAACTACCAGCCTTAACACCATCTAGTCCAGGACCCATTTCAGAGAGTACTCCAGCCATATCAGGAGACAGACCGGGTGATCCAGGTGGGCCAGGTGGTCCAGGCTGACCTGGTTGCCCTGGGGGTCCTGATAGGCCCTCTTTTCCTGGTGGTCCCATAGGACCAGGAAGACCGGGATTGCCCTCACCTGCAATACCTGGCAGACCAGGTGGACCACTATCTCCTTTTGGCCCAGGAAGACCAGGAGGCCCAAATGGTCCTGCTGTGCCATCCATTCCTGGGATTCCTTTAGGACCTTGAGGTCCCACATTACCAGGTAATCCACCTTGTCCTTTTGGCCCTGGAAGTCCTGGAGGACCAGGGGTACCAGGAAGACCTTTATGCCCACCATCTCCTTTGGCACCACTTGGTCCTGGAGGACCTCTTGGCCCTGGCTCTCCACGGTCTCCAGGCAGACCATCCTTACCAGGTATCCCAGGAGGACCTGTGTCACCCTTGGCTCCATCAAGCCCTTTAGGCCCTCCTTCTCCACAGTCTCCTTTGGGGCCAGGTGCACCTAAACCTCCTGGGGCTCCCATAGGCCCTGGAGGACCTGGTGTACCATTTGGTCCAGGGGGTCCAAGCATACCGGGAAGTCCTCCGTGGCCCTTATCTCCTTTTGGTCCTGGATGTCCAGGTGGCCCACCCATACCTTTATCACCCTTTGGTCCTGGGAGTCCTGGTTTACCAAATCCAGGCAGTCCTGGCTTTCCTGGCAGACCTGGTGGTCCTGGATGACCTTTTGCACCTGGCATGCCTGGCTGTCCTGGCAGACCGTTTTGACCTGGCTTTCCTTGACCAGGTAGTCCTGGTGGACCAGGCTGTCCTCCTTCACCGGGTACCCCAGCTGGCCCTTGCTCTCCAGGATGACCTTTCTCTCCTGGTGGCCCATGTGGGCCTGGTGCCCCATTCAATCCAGGTTTTCCAAAACCAGGCAGTCCTCTTGGACCAGCTGGTCCTGGGGGCCCTGGGAGCCCTTTGTGACCAGGTTGTCCTGGCTGCCCCATCCCTTTATCTCCTTTGGGTCCTGGTAATCCTGGTAGCCCCGGCAGACCTTTGTGACCTGGCTCTCCTTTTGGCCCTGGTTGGCCTGGTAAACCCTGCACCCCTGGTTTACCTATTCCTGGTAGCCCAGGTGGTCCTGGGGGACCTTGAGGTCCTGGCTGTCCAGATGGCCCTTCCTCACCCCTTGGGCCCATTTCTCCTTGTGGCCCTGCCTCACCATTTCCTCCTGCATTGCCTGGCAGTCCTGGCAAACCTGGTTTCCCCACAGCAGGCACTCCCGGTGGACCAGGAGGTCCAGGTCGTCCCATGGGTCCTGGCTGTCCATTTCCTGGAGGTCCAGGAGGTCCTGGAGGTCCCTCTGGTCCAGGTGGCCCAGCTGGGCCTGGTTCCCCTTGAGGAATTCCCTCAGCTCCACTGGGGATTGTCTGACCTGTGACAAATGAGAAACATTAAACTAGAAATCATGAAATTGACAATACATGGACAAAGTTTTGGTTATCAAGTTGCCAAAGTTGCCAGTTGGTTGTAGAAAATACTTTCTATAAATGTTTCTTTTCTGGCACTTGAGGAAACAACAAATACAAATAAATTATTTACTATATGCTATGAAAAATAAAGAAATGTTTGTGGCCTTGGCATGTTTTAGTAGGTCATGTCATATTTGTTCAAGAACTGAATGTAAATGTTCATGGAAGATTCTTGGTTAGTGAACTTTCTCACCTTTGTCTTGACCACCATTATATCCGGCCCCTTTACGAGCATTTTCTTTGCCCTTGTGCATGGGCATCTGGGGTAGCTCCTTTCTATAATGGGGATACTGCATATAGGGCACTTCTTTGCCAAGGTACTGTTGCTGGGTAAAGCCATCTTTGCCCATCCCCATGTGTTGGAATTGCTGTACTGGCTGGTATTGCTGAGGGTGTTGCTTGTGTGCGTAGTATGCCCCACCACTCACACAAGTAAGTACTACAAATTGTAGCAGTGTCAGAAAGAGGGGGGCAGGGAGGGGAGGCATGGCCAGGGCCTGAATGGAAGGTAGAGAAGACAAGATATGAGGCAGGGGTGTATCTCTTTGTAAATCCTGTATGTTAGTAAGTACATCAAACATTACTGTGGTAACAGTTTAGAACTTCTTGAAAGATAATAAGTGCCTTCAAGTGAACATCCTCATTTGCACAGTGAAGGCTGTTGCAGGCCACACTCTGTCTCCCTCAGCTGTCTATACATTGGAACTAAACATTGCACATTGCTCTTGTGAACAGTGGTTTCTGTTCAGTGTGTGTCACCTATGTAATATTGTCATAGGCAGACAAGAATCAAAAGGTTTTTCAGTTCTTTTTTTCTCAACTCTGTTCAGCATTCATAAATATAAACAAAATAGATTTAATGAGTATCTGGGATGGTTTAGTGTATTCCATTGGCAACTGACTGAAGCATTTCTCCTACTATGAACTACTTATTCTACTATTCTATAAAACCACCAAAAACAGTATAACCTACAGGAAACCATTAACAATTTACATAACAAAACAAAACAAAAAAAGTTGTTTATGTTTTAAAGCCTAAATGACATTTATTGGTCAGACCACTTAACTTCATTGTTATTTCCTTCAGTACCTTTCTAAACACATATGAATGGGGGTAATAGGTAAGTGCCAAACAAACATCAACAATAAAAATGACAACAGCAACAACAAAAGTAAATTTGGCAAATTTTAAACATCACAATTGGCAGGGCTGAAATTGCTCCAACTTTGTATATATTTCGGACTGAACTATCAGTCCTTTCCTGTATAGCTCTACTAATGAAAAGCACAATCACATGGACTTGAATAGGACAGGAATATGAACTTCAGGAAATCTTCTTGGGAATAACCTCTCAGACATGTCTCTAATTGCCTTTGTTCTAAATCTGACATCCTCTAACTCCTAACTAAGATGGTGCAGAAAAATTAAATGACTGTATGCAGGCTTTTGATTATGTGTTCTGCAGCAAATTTTGCCAAATTTTCTGATGTACAAATGTGTTCAAGTAACAATATAACGCAATAGTGTCCTTTTGCTTATTTATGGTCTTTATTGATTGAACTGCCTATGTTTTATGCCTACTGGCTCTGTACTTTCATATTTTAGTGATTTCAACTTTGGCTGAGTCTAAGGTAAAATGTGTATGGTAAGCATGGTAAGCAGTGGTATGCAATTTATGCCGTTTAAACCTGGCTCTAAAATTATACACGAGACAAATGACAATGTGTCACTCTCAAAGACTGGGCTGGGGTAAGCTGCATTTACCACAAGGGTCCACAAGAGGGCACTATACTAAATGTAAAAAAAAAAATTTCATTTTCCCACTGATGTTCAATTGCTGGGCTGAAACTTTGGTGGTGCTATGATTAATCTTTTCTGATATCTGCGTTTCCAATAATGCACTGCACCTTCACAGAGGTAAGGTGTGCAGTCCTGTGGTTGTAACATACTGATGTGCACATTATTACAAGGTATACAGATATTTTTGTCAAAGGACAGTTAGGACAATGTACATGACAAAGAAGATTTATATAGCCTGAATTGTAAAATGAACATGATGTGTGGAGACATTAAAATAAGAACATTTGTATGAACATGCATTCATTTCTTGACACTTAAGCTTTTTATTTTTTTATTTTTTTAAGTTTTACAAGTGTGTGAAGTATTTTTGCCACCTCCTAGCTAACTCACTGGTGTGTACACCACTTCCAATGGTATTAATAAGGGCATTCTTGTCGTTCCTGCATTACTGCAATGGATTCAGTCAGGCATCTGTCCAACAAATAAATCCCAAGAAAATGAAAATCCCCATAAATGGCATTAAAAGTAAAGTAAGAAGATGACACAGGAAAGTGCCTAGTAATTGCAATAACTTAGTAAGAAATATCTAGAGTAGGTGCATGTCAGGACTACAAGCAACACACATCCAATGTCAAACCTCAAAACAAGACTTTCTCTCAGCTCAAAACTCGTGAGGAGGAACCCACTCATGTGACAGTGCCTGTCTGATGTCTCTCATTTTGGCCAGCATTCAGACATCTGGTCCAGCAAGTACATTTCTGAGAGAAGAGAGTTGTCATCCTTCTAAGCAGTTCAGACAAGCTATTTATTTCTTACTTGCATTATTTAACCCCTGAGCTGTCTGCTTTAAATAGTCAGTAAAAGAGAGAAGCAAAGAGGTTTTCTTTGGCTCCACAACCCATGAATAAAAATCCCAGCTGCTCCTCTGAGTGTCTGCGTGTGTTATTAGGTCATTCTTCCCAACTACCATATCCAGCTCAGCCATAATCGACTCATCTCCCACCACACTCCCTGCCCAGGTTCAACTGCGATTCCAGTCATAGTTTATTACAGCCAACTCATCTGTAGCTTTTCTAATTCACATCCTAAACAACATCCTTACTGTCCACTCCATCACTGACTCCTTGGATCTTTTCCGCCCTTTCACCTTTTCTCAGTCGACTGCTGATTTTGACATGGCTGTGCCACTGTCTCCCCCAATGAGAGCTGGCCTTTGAAGGAAGCCCACCTAGTTTCCACAACGACAGAGGCCAGACATGCCAAAGAGTCCGGAGGAATGCTGCCGATTTTTCCCAACAAGAACTGGAACCTATTTTTGACCACCGAGCGGAAGCTGTGGCCTGTTCCCAGCACCCTGATCAGCTCTATGAATCTGTGAGGTCTGCAGACAATAAACAGAAGTGGAGGAATGGCCAGTAAAGTTGATCTCTGTGTGAGACAGGCCAACCCTAGCATTAAACCTTTTCCCATTGTGTTTGTGAGGCTGCATTAAGGTTCCCAGGCTGCTGAAACGGACATTATACAGGACAACAATGACTAACAAAGACAGTGAGATAATGGAAATATGTGCGGAGAGGGGAGAAGATGTGTACTGTTTTGTTAAGAGTCTAGCATTAAAACATTTCACATTAGCACTTTAATCTTTTAGAATTGGTTTGTCTTTTACAACAAAGAACGTTGATAGTTCCTTACAAAAGGTGACACTTTGTACTTGTACGCACTACATACTCTCAGGTACTGTAAATGAAAGACTTGTGAAGAGTGGAGACTGGATGTGGGGGGTCGGTGAAAGAGGTGCATTGATCCTGAGACATTTGTCAGGTTAAAATAATCAGACATGTCTGACAACTAATACTTAGAGGTGAGAAAGCCATCATAAGTGTTTCAAGACCCTGAGTGTGTTTTGAGGTTTTGTGAAAAATGTGCAGACTTTCATCCACTATCAAATGAAAAACTCACTCTCCTCTACTTTCCACAACGGGATGAAGAAGTTTTTATGGCATACATGCAGCTGAATGAATTGATTACACCAAAATTCATATTTCATCACTTTTGACATTCTCATAACAAGACCACCTTACAAACACTTAACCATTGTCATTTTAGACATTTAGACCATCTGTATCACATTCTAATGTAATGTAATGACTAATGTATCTAATGTAAATATGCTTATTTCTTGTTTTTTAGCTTATTAGAGAGATGGCAGGGTGTTTGGTGATATAGTTCTGATGTATAATGTGTATCTATCCAGACAAGAAAATGTGACGGTTTTACTACGTTTTAGGAACGTCCCAGCTCAGTGTTGGTATGTGTGTGTGCATAGGTGTCTTTAAAAGGGGTGGAAATATTCTAACAAAATTTGCAACTACAGATCAGAGGGACCCGCACAACGAAGGTCTGTTCAGTGTCACATAGCAACGCCATAACATTGTCATGGTGACCACAGAGTGATGGAAACACCTTGCGTCTTTACCTGGTGTGCTTTTCTCCAACACATTATTCTACATAAGTGTTGCCTCCCGAGTGACTTGTTCATACAGTAGAGCCACTTTCAGACTCTGACATAAACATTGACCAGCAATTTCCAAGTTAAGTTGTTATTACAGAAAACAGAAAGAGAGAAGGGTACAACAAAGTGACTATAAAGAAGTCTGTTATACCCATTACATTTATTTTCAAGCACTAGTGTCATCCCTCCATCTATATTCATGCCTATGGCAGACATGAAGTCACATATAAATGTGCGACAGCTGTGAGAAGTTTTGATGGCATGAGTAGCGTGTTGTGAGCGGTTTCTCACATTTGCAAGATTTACAGTTTAATTTTTCACACAGAAGTGTGAAACAGTTTGTCTCCCTCAATGAGGATTCTCTGAGAAGCAGTCATTTGTAACAGTAACTAAACATGAACAGAAACCATGTTCTACATTTTCATACCAGGCAGATTTCACCAGTATATCATTCAGTTCACACCCTTCCCATACTAGCTTGTTAATATAACAGGAAAAGACACACGCACAGTTGAAAAAATACTGAGAGAACTGTAGACAAATGCACAAACATGCACAACATCCTGTGCAATGGACACATATTTTCAAAAACGGATCATAACTGGGATCATTTTAAAGTCAACTTGAAACAGTGAAGAGTAATGTATTCATGCCTAATCAAGTGATTTCCTCTAAATTAATGGTATATTTATTATCATTTCTATGGTACAATAATCACCTGTGTCTTGTATAATTACATATTTATATTTATTGCACTATATAGGACTGAAAGTCTACATCCATGCCAGCGGCTCTGTGAAGCAGTACTTGTGTTTACCATGTTCACCATCTTGGTTTAGTGTGTTATCATGTTAATAGTTGCTTATTAGTGCTAAACACAAAGTACAGTTGAGGCTGATGGGGATGCCATTAGTTTTTTAAGTGTTTGGTCATAAACCAAAGTATTGGACAAATTGGACAAAAAGTTATTACAATTCAGTGGGTGAACATGAATGTCTGTTTATCGTAGTCTGTGAGAGGTGGTGGTGCTGGATGAAACTCACCAAAGTCCCAAGGATTCATCCCCTGGGAATCATGGTTGTATGTACAAAATTTCATAGCAGTAGTAGTTGTTGAGATATTTCAACTTGGACATAAGGGGTAAACCATGCTGCCAGCACGGCTCAAAAAGCCCA